GGAGAAAAGGTGGCGGAACTCAAACCTGGCCACGCCCTCATCAAACCCTAGGACCGCCCCTTTAGAGAACAGGAATGCAAGTAAAATTTGGGAGGGGCTATTTCCGGTGTGGGAGGGGCTATTTCCGGTGCGGCCGGCCCGGAAAAAGGTGCCGGAACGCGGTTCCGCCGCGTTCCGGCTGAAAAAAAGCCCTGGCTTTGCTACCACTCAGTCTAGGGAAGCTGCCTCTGTTGAATTCCTGCCTGGCGTGCAGTTATTAAAAGGCACTCCCATGGAGAAGGACAGGTGGGGAACTGAGCACCCCAGCTTTCAACCAATGCAAGGAAGCGGACATTTCTGCGATGCCCTTCATGATACTTGGAATAGTTTCAGGAACTCTTTTCCTATGTTGCAACTGGATGTTTGATCAACATTGATCCAAAATGACAAACCATTAACCCCTTACCATCTGAGTAACCCTCTGCAGTTGCTCTAATTTGCCATTACCATAAGAGCCATGGTGGCGCAGTGGTTAGGATGCAGTATTGCAGGCTAATTCTGCCGACTGCCAGCAGTTCGATTCTTATCAGCTCAAGGTTGATTCAGCCTTCCATCTTTCCGATGTCAGTAAAAGGAGGACCCAGATTGTTGGGGGGGCAAGATGCTGACTCTGTAACCCACTTAGGGAGAGCTGTAAAGCACTGTGAAGCGGTATATAAGTCTAAGTGCTATTGCTATTACAAGCAGTTCTCAGCTTACAACCAGTCAGTTAGTGATCATTAGTTGTGATGGAAAAAAGGTACTTACTACCTGGATTCAAAGTCCCAATAGCCGGGCTCCGATATACAATATTTTTTTTTTGCTTGAAACCAACATTTACTTTGGGGGCCGGAGGCTAAAACATATGAAGAACAGTTGCAGGAATTGGGTTATGTCTAGTCTAGTGAAAAGCAGTGTTTCTTAAGAAGCAATGGGTGGAAACTGATCAAGGAGAGAAGCAACCTAGAACTAAGGAGAAACTTCCTGACAGAACAATTAACCAGTGGAACAACCTGCCTCCAGAAGCGGTGAATGCTCCAACACTGGAAGTTTTTAAGAAGAAACTGGACAGCTATTTGTCCAAAATGGTGTAGGGTTTCCTGCCTGAGCAAGGGGTTGGACTCGATGACCTCCAAGGTCCCTTCCAACTTTATTATTATTATTAAGATGGCTGGCTGGGGGAATTTTGGGAACTGAAGTTCATCCATCTTAAAGGATGAGAAACACTGCTTTAATTTATCTCCTTCAGGGGCTGAGAGGAAAACAGCTTCACGGGGAACATGACAGAATGAGGTCACCCAGGCATCTTTACACTGTGCAGAGATATCCACAGGGCCTGGTCAAAAAAAGTAAAAATAATGGCTGCAGCAGTACGCTTCAATCACCCAATTGCGACTGTCATCTTGACTTTTTGACCATTCCAGCAGACACACAAGTAATGTGTTTACAAGCAAGTAGAAGAACGGTTGTTTTGCTTTATCAGCTTGTATTTTACTTAACTATCAAGTTAAGTTTATTTTTCACAGCTGTCAAAATAACAACCAGGCCTTGGCTAATCTTGTGGAATGACTCAAGTCCCCTTTTATTTCAGGGAATTTCCCTATTCCTCTGCAGTTACTCAAGATTGTCTTGATTGTTGCTTGGATGTTATTGTCTCTCCAGCCTGCATACAGCTGAAAGTCCTCATGACCCAGGCAGAAATCTTTAAAAGCTACAGTTTCAAGTTACTAATCCATATTAATACCAGGTGTTAATGAAAGAAAGGCAGTGAAAGAAGGGAAAAAGTAAAAAGTTTGGTTTCACTTGATGGAATGGTTCTCATGTCATACTAAAATTGGTGTTTTGTTTTTTCCCCAAATTTGGTGGCTTTAAGATGTGTGGACTTCAATTCTCAGAATTCTCCTAGCTCGTTTCCTGGCCGGGAAAATTCTGGGAGTTGAAGTCCACAGAACTCAAAGTTGCCAAGTTTTAAAAACATTGTGCTAGAAAAATGTTAAAAGGACTTGAATTTACATGGCAACACATCATTAACAAACCATAGTTTAGCTTTATCTCACACACTGAGTTGCAAACTAATGAACTTCATTTAAGGTAGTATGTTGTATACACCCAGAATTGCACCAAGCCAGCTTTATTTAAATAACTATTTAAATAATTTTAAAACCAGAACTGACTGTTTATATGCCACGTGACTAAGCCATCAACTGCATTAAGTCAAACTGTGGTTGGTTTGAATTAAACTTGAAGATAACTCATTGGAAGGATTTTGAAACTCTGGTTTATGGCTTCATGTGCTGAGCCAGCCAGTCCCATGATGGTTTGTTGGATGAATCACAATTGAACAAGCCATAGTTAAGGGCAATGTGCACAGCTAGCCTTCGGATGCAGCATAAGCTGGCACCTTTGAGTTGGACTACAGCTCCTATCACCTATAGCCAGCTGGGACAGAGGGAACATTACTCAATTCCATCAAACCTGAGGTTGCTTGAGACAGCTTCTCATATAGAATTGGATAAAATTCACTGCACAGCTAAGCTGGGCCGCCTCTTGCTAAGTTTTGCTTTCTTTTTAGCTGGAAATCTTCCAAGTTATCTGACTCACACAGTGGCTCCCCTCCCCACCTTGTCCCTGGAATTAATTGCAAAATCCTCTCCCAGTCTTGGCCAGAGCTGAAGAAAGCATCGGGCAGGACAGACGTGGTCCAGAGATGTCCTCTCAAAACCGGTTCCTTCTTTGGCTATCATGGATGGGGGCTCTGATAGCGATTAGCCATCAAGCACCAAGGTGGGTAATCACACAGAGGTGCCAGCTTCTTCTCCTTAATTATAATTCTCATCAGCCAGCTGCTGTTTTATCATAGCAAAGACCCCTCCAGTGCATGAAACCCCTTACACTCTTTGCTGAGCAATCCTTTACCTGTTGATTTCTCCTTGCCTCTGAGGTAAAAGTCTTCAGAGGCGCAGCCCTAAAAGAGACTGCAACTTTTATTTTATTTAAATCTATTTGCATGTCGTAAATTAATAAATTCAGCCTCTGCTTTCTGTTTTCACTTGACTTAATTGTCTTTGATTTTTATTGGGGGGTGGGTGGGTTGAAAAAAAACTTGTTAGAAAACAAGCTCTAGCTACTTAAGCTACACCTGCTTTGTCCTCCCTTTAAAATATAATTTCAAAATTGAACTGAATGTTATTGCATTATTAGTGTTGTTATTATGCACATTTTTTTAAAGTTTTGTGTCAATTTTTTAGTTTGCATAGTAGGAAGCATGTAATGTGTTGTTACAATACAGACAGCTAAATTGGAAAATGAAAAAAAAAGAAAGCATTAGAATATTACTGGGTATGTTTACACAATGAAAACGAAATACACGAAATTCCTTTTTTTTTAATTTTGTGGGGAAAAAGAATGTGTGACTTTGGTTTGGCAAGGAAGCTGCACCCAGTGGTTTTACCACGGGACCTTTTTATGAAGGAGATTTTCAGAATTTAAGAAGTATAATTGTAGCTTAAAAACCACAACACTCTTTTGCTCCTTAAAACACCTCTGATTCCCGAGGGTCTCAAAATTTGGTTCCTCTAAGCGAGCAGCCGAGAGGTTTCGTGCAGTCCTGTGTATTTTATTCTCCTGCTCTAAAAGTAGTCCTTGACTTACAACCATTTCTTTAGTGACCATTTGAAGTTACAATGGGACTGAAAAAAGTGACTTACGACCGTTTTTCACACTTACGTCCATTGCAGTATCCCTGTGGTCACATGATCAAAATTTAAATGTTTGGCAACTGACTCGTATTTATGACAGTTGCAGTGTCCAGGGGGGGGTCATGTGATCCCCTTTTGTGACCTTCTGACAAGCAAAGTCAATGGGGAAGCCAGTTTCACTTAACAACCGGGTTACTGACTTTATCAACTGCAGTGACTCAGTTAACAACTGTGGCAAGACATGTCGTAAAACGGGGCAAAACTCACTCAAAGTGTCTTGCTTAGCAACAGAAACTTTTGGCTCAGTTGTGGTCGTAAGTCGAGGACTCCCTGTATTCTAGTGAAATAACGTGGCCACCATCGTATTGCACAAACCGCCAGTATAAACTGGTGCAATACATGAACGCAGCCTATTGTTACCTTTTCAGTAAATGAAGGTTAAACAAACCATGCCTCATCCGTTATACAAACATTGCCAAGGACTGGTTCACACATTGCAATACAATACACCATAAAGCGGCGGCTGTGATGTACCTTGTGAATCAGCCAGCCTGTTTTGTCAACTATGATCTCCGCCTGAATACACGTAGCTGACTAAACTCTCTCTGGGTATGACTGAGTTTTTCCCCCGAGGCTAAGCAGATAGAAAGCTCTGTTTGAATCCAGTATTTCTCAACCTTGGCAAATTCAACATATGTGGACTTCAACTCCCAGAATTCCCCAGCCAGCCATGTCCACACATCTTAAAGGAGCCAAGTAGCCTAGGTCAGGGGTAGGCGAGCTTGGCTCTTTTATGACTCGTGGACTTCAACTCCCAGAATTCCTGAGCCAGCCATGCTGAGGGGACAGGGAGAGGTTTCCAAGCTGAGCCACGCTGGCTCAGGAATTCTGGGAGTTGAAGTCCACAAGTCATAAAAGAGCCGAGGTTGCCTACCCCTGGCCTAGGTTGAAAAACATGGGTTTATGTGGCAGAGATGGCTAAACTAGCTGCTCTAATTAAAGAAAAGAATTTATTGTGCTTTGTTTGTACTTGGAAACCACTTCTGGACTTTATACTCGAAACAAATAAACAAAAAGGAAACTTTGATCTTTAGGTTTTGATGATTAGATGAATGCGCTATTTTAGAAATAGCTGGCCCTTAACTAAACATGCAAAGTAAAAAGTTGAGATTGTGACTGCGCTTTGTATGTTTCCCTTTTTCTTTTTCCCTTTTCAACCTTTCCCCTTTTCCTTCCCCCCTTCTCTCTACCCTCTTCGTTTCTATTTGCATTTTATATTATGACAAACTTCAACTGAAAAAATTAAAAAGAGAAACAAGGGTTTAAAAGATTGCATAAATGAGCGCGGTAAATACTGTAAGGTTGTGCAGGAGAAGCTGTCGTTAATTAAGTCACTTGTGCGTGCAAGCAGGCAGAAACAGAGAGTCCTCAACTTAACAACCGTTCATTTAGCAACCCTACAAAGTTACAACGACACTGAAAAAAACTGACTCGCAACCAGTGGTGGGATTCAGCTGGTTCGCACCACTTCGGCAGAACCAATAGCTAATTTTTTGTTGCCCAGGCCCAGAACGGACTTCCAGAAGCGGCATCCACACAGAGAACTGGTTGTTCACATATTTGAATCCCATCGCTGCTCACAATCAGTCCTCACACTTATGACTGTCACAGCACCCCACCACAATCACAATATCAAAATTTGTGCACTTGGCAATTGGTAAATTGCAGCATACTGGGGTCGTGTGATTGCCATTAGTAACCTTCCCAGTTGGCTTCTGACAATGTCAGTGGGGAAACCCACATTTGCTGAACAACTGCAGTACCATTTTATAATGCTTGGTAAGGCCACACTTGGAGTACTGCATCCAGTTTTGGTCACCACGATGTAAAAAAGATGTTGAGACTCTAGAAAGAGTACAGAGAAGAGCAACAAAGATGATCAGGGGACTGAAAGGTAAAACATATAAGGAACGGTTGCTGGAGTTGGGTATGTCTAATTTCATGAAGAGAAGGACGAGGGGGGACATGATAGCAGTGCTCCAATATCTCAGGGGCTGCCACAAAGAAGAGGGAGTCAAGCTATTTTCCAAAGCAGGACAAGAAGCAATGGATGGAAACTAATCAAGGAGAGAAGCAACCTAGAACTAAGGATAATTTTCCTGGCAGTTAGAACAATTAATCAGTGGAAAGACGTGCCTTCAGAAATTGTGAGCGCTCCAATACTGAAATTTTTTTAGAAGAGACTGGACAACCATCTGTCTGAAATGGTATAGGTGGGTTTCCTCCCTGAGCAGGGGATTGGACTAGATGACCTCCAAGGTCCTTTCCAACTCTGTTCTTCTGTTATATGCTTAACAACCGTGGCAAAAAGTCATGAAATCAAGAGCAATTAACCTAGCAACAATTTTGCTTAACAATGGAAGTTCTGGACCCAATTTACATCATAAGCTGAGGACTACCTGTGAAGGATGCTGGACCACGAGTGGTGAGATGCAGATTCTTCTCCCTCTTTAGCCACAGAAGCTCCATGGGAGACCCTGGTTGAGTTCCATCCTGTCAGTTCCAGGGTAGAATAATGGGGAAAGTGTTGAGCAGGAAGACCCAGGACCTAGCTGACATAATTTTTTTTTAAAACATAAATAAACCCACAGTAAGCAGCAGCATCTTGGGTTGTTTCCCTAGCCTATGATGCTATCCATCTAAGGCAATAAAGGGTTTTTGAAAAGCAGAAGCCTTTACTCCTTTTCAGGGGTTGCAACTGAACAGAACAGAATAACAGCGTTTGAAGGGACCTTGGAGGTCCTCTAGTCCAACCCCCTGCTGAAGCAGGAGACCCTATACCAGCAGTAGGCAACCTTGGCTCTTTTATGATTCGTGGACTTCAACTCCCAGAATTCCTGAGCCAGCTTGACTGGCTCAGGAATTCTGGGAGTTGAAGTCCACGAGTCATAAAAGAGCCAAAGTTGCCTACCACTGCCCTATACCATTCCAGGCAAGTGTCTATCCAGTCTTTTACTCACTTGTTGGTGGGCACATGTTGCTTAGGCAGGTTCTAGTCGGAGTAAACAGAGCCCAACATAGCAAGGATCTGAGCCCTAATGTTCAAAAAGTGTCAAAGGTGATAACCCAGGGCCTTAAATTGGGCTGTGACATGGAGATTTGGTGGTTATATGTTTTTAATCCTCACCTAATCCAATGTGTAAACTGGAGTTTAAGCAATTTTGAAAAGTCCAGAATGGATACTGGTATAAAGGACTTGGAAGTTAGGAGAGGAAAAAAAGCATTGGAATTACATTTCAGCCAACATCAACATTGCGAAATCGTGGAAATCACACTTTGTGGTCTTTGAAAGCTTCTTGTCTGTTTAGAATGGAAAGGCCGTAAATTCAGTCCATAAAAAACATTTGATAGATTGCAACCAGGGTTGTGGAGTCGGAGTCGAGGAGTCGGAGTCGGAGTCAATTTTGGGTACCTGGAGTCGGAGTCGGAGTCGGAGTCGGCAAACAATGCACCGACTCCGACTCCTACTAAATTTAGATTGGAATTTAAAAAAAAAGCAAGTTTAAATGTCCCAATTCACAAAAAGTTATAATTAATGACTTCTCTACTGTAAGAATAAAGACCAATGCATGCAGTGCCTCACGTAACCGCAAAACGAACACGTTAAGTGACTGTGAAGAAGCATGCTTTTCATGTGCATGGAATGTATAAAATACATTTGCATATTAATACAGAGGAGTCGGAGTCGGGGAGTCGGAGTCGGAGTCGGAAGTACAAAAAACTGAGGAGTCGGAGTCGGAGTGGGAGTCGGAACATTTATCTACCGACTCCACAGCCCTGATTGCAACCATATCCCGGGAGGGGAGGAGAACCTGCCTGAATTTGCATATATGTATGCATGTATACTTTGTGCCCTGCTAGATCAGATTGAATGTCTAACTCAGTTCTCGCTAAACTGTATTATACAGCTGTGTTAGATTACAATTCTTGACTTCCCCTGTTGGGCCAAGCAAAGATCAACCAAATAAACAAAAAAAAATGTTTATCTATATTGGAACACAGTCCAACTACATTCAAAATTAACAA